AACTTTTCTGCCTTGATTTCATAACTGACCATCCGACAACAAACACAAGAGAAAGTCGATATGTGGCTGATGGGGTTAGGCCGGGCACGTTCAGGTTCTGGCACATGGAGGTGAATAAGCAGTTAAGACCTGAAGGAGGCACCATATTGAGATTTCAGTCAAAAACAAGAAGCAGAGACAACGTAACAAGTATCTCACATGAGGCTATGCAGTAGCTGACATTTATTTCAGCCTTCATTACCCACAAAAGCTCAGACTTGTTTACAATCATGTCATTCATATCGACAAGCTACACTTTGTGATGACATGCATATTTGTCATCATGTTAAGATGTAAAATAAAAATACACAGGGCCAACCTATTTGTTCTGATTTTTGCACACAGCTATGCGATATGCTGAGTGATATCTACAAGCTCAGAGAGTAGAAAGGAACAAGAGAGGTTCTCAAATCCTCAAAGCAGACCTACTGTAACTGCACTGACTCACCTCACAACTGTGTCAACAAGGAAAGAAAAACTAAGGATATTCTAAATGTTTTAGAATAGGTCAACTTAAACCAATGTATGTAATCCTACCCTTTAGGTACAGCCCTCTGTTGGATTCTCTATGGACACATACAACACCCTACATTTTCAGATGATGAGAGCTTTTTCTTTCAGTCATAATGTCAGACCAGTCCCTTGAAAACCTAATTGCATTAGGAATCTCTCTTTCCTCTCCTTATAAGTGATACTAAAGCAGATACTGGAGTAAAGCAACTGCTGCCATCCAGTGGATATTACGCAGTACTGAAAACATATTGCAAGGACATACGCCTTCACAGGGAAAGCTAAACCAGTGTAGCAAAAGAGGTGTGGATATGGAAGCAGCAAACCTGTTCAACTAGGCCACCAAAGACAGGCAGTTAGTAGTTATTACCTTCCTCCACACAGCACATTGAGACTCTTTCCCTGGTAAATCAGAAGCAGATTGTGCCATTCTGTGTTTTGTCCGATTTTTGGTTCAGAAGGATTGCATTGACAAAGCAAATCTTGTCAAGAAGTTATATATGGTCATGTGTTTTACTGCACCCAGGTCAACCATGCCTTAAATATGTGAGAGCTCTTCCAAATACCTGGTAACACTGACAAGAAACTCAGCAAAGTATGCAGAGTATGCATTTCATTTATCAAAGTCAACTGTCAGGACGGCCTTGATCCCGAGAATCTTACCCTGAGTCGCACGCAGCCTCTTCTGGATCCTCGCATCATCTTGTCCTTTGACTGTAAACCAACACCAGAACACATAGGGGATTAATACAGTCAGAATACAGAATGCAGGAAATGGTACTAGACACTGACAAAAATATGCTTAAATCTGACGTAGATGGTGCAGGAGGAAATTAATTTACCAGGCCTATTTCACTGAGGATAATTTGACATGTCATAGCAGAAAGAAGCACAGTTGTTACTCATAAAATGAATGATGGCTGAATTCCCATTTAGCTGCTTCAGTTTCAGGGTCCTGGTATTGTGCACACTGCCTCACTGGCACACTGTCACTTAGTTTACTAGGACACATGAATAGAACAGAGCCATCGTTAATGTTATTAGTAACACCTGTGCTTTTTCTACTATGACAAGTCAAAACGTCTGCTGTGGAAAAGGATCAAAAAGATACCATGCACGTCCGCTGCTTACAGCTCGTTTTGTTAAGTTAGGAACATTTAAAAAAAAAAAAAATCAGTTTGTGGAGATTGTATAATAGGCTCTCTCCATATTATGTACAAGGCTAAGTGTAAATAAAGAACCGTACATAGTCAGGTTGTCCTCTTTGTCATAACACTAGTAATATCAATGAGAAATTTCAACTAACGATATTCCAAAAGTCTCCGCTTTTAATAAGAGTTAAGAGAAGACTCTTCCCCCTAACTCATGTTTTGTTCTGTAGCCGAGTTTTGAAATATATTATAAAATAATGGTTGAGAAAATATGGACTAAAAATCACACACTTGATGAAAGGCAAACGAGACCACTGACATCATATCACCTGAACTCAATTCCGATTCAAGCTACAATTTAATTTACTGTTACTGCATCGTAATTCACTGAAATTGAAATTCAGTTTTTCTCCTCTTTAGCTGACTCAACTGAAAATTTACATTCATTTTCTTTAGACTGGGGCTACAACTAACTTATTTTTATTGTCTAATAATCTGCTTACTATTTTCTCGATTAAAAATATTATCTACAAAATGGCACAATCACAATATCCCAAGACAGAACATGACATATTCAAATTGCTTGTTTTGTCCGACTTATACTGCAAAATTCAAAGATATTAATTTACATACGTTTAGTTACTATTGGCTTCCATAAGAATGTTCACCCAACTTTTGGCATATTCAACTGTTTTACTGATGACAATTAATCATAATGTAAGTGAGAGGAAAAGCAGCAAATCTACACATTTGAGAAGCTGAAACCAGCAAATGCTTGGCATTTTTACATGGAATATGACTCAAATGACCAATCGATTATCAATATAATTGCTGATTTTCTGTCAATCCACTTATCAACGCATAGTTTCAACTCTAAGTGAGATACAGTATGAAACTGCTACTGGACTCCCATTTGTTCTGCTTTGACTTTAAAATCTACACATATGAGTCTCTGTGGGTCTTTGGTGTGAAATGTACAGTAACTATAGCGTTACTTCAGTCAGGGCTAAGGCTAGTGCCTGGTAGTCAAGAGTTACTGAAGAACTGCTACTGACTACTAAACGAATAAAAAACGATCTGACGACTCAGTGAACTTAAGTTAACTGACATCAACAGAGTCTCTTGCCTGCTTTACTCTCGACATTACAAATCACAGTAACGTTACAGTAAACCAAACACCTAAGCAACGAGCAGCCACTCTGTCTCCTCCCGCGGTGGATTGTTAGCTATTTAGCTAGTGAACCAGTGAGTGTCCGGCTCTTATTTTACCACCGGAGACAAATGTCACCTCGCCGACATACATGATTATGCCTCTCTTTCGCCCAATGCTGTTAAATAGTCACAATAAAATGTTGACCTGTTTGTGTATTTCTGCTTTTAGCTTTGCAAAGCTAGCTGCATTAGCGGAAGTGTGGAGAAAACGGCGAGACTCGATTCGTCGGCTTGTGTAGAGGGACCATTGCTACTGGTCAATGATCGGATCTGTCACCAGGGAGATTCGCCTCTTTACGCCAGTTGAGACTCCCAACTCCTGACAAACACAAGGCCCTTCTCCCACTCGGGTTTGACTACCAGCGGCAACTTAAACCTTATGTAACCTATTGAGCAGATCAGTTTAGCAATTACAAACCGTGGGAATGAACGTACCGTGTAGTATGACAGCAAGCCGGCATTGTAGTCCAGAACAAACCAACGATACTGCCAACCTTTCATGACGTTAGTCCACTTGCTTAGCGGCCCCTCCATGATGGACGCCATCTTTACAATCGGCTACGGATTTGGGAGGAGTCGGATATGGTGTGGGCAGACGTCAGGGTTAGGATGCTGCTGGTGAAAAGGATGGTGGTGGTGATGAAAGAAATGCGCCCCATATTACCCTTTGTATGTATTCAGTGACAGAAGATTATTCAGATTATTCAGAATAAAAGTAGCATTACCCAATTAAAATAAAGTTAAATTCCAGCATTCAAAATCTTACTGAAATAAAAGTGGAGAAGCAACAGCAACAAAATGTACTTGAAGTGTCAAAGTAAAAGAAAAAACCAACGTCAGTGTTATACTCTTATATTATTGGATCATCATTATTGATGAAACAAGTAAGAAGTACTTTAATGTTGTAGTCTGCCAGGTTGTGTATATTTTGTCTCGTGTATGAAGAATAATACATCATCTTTTAATTCATGTACAACTTGTTTTGTATTTGAATTCTTCATCTGAAAAGTGACTAGTACAGCTACAGCTGCTACAGCTGTGAATAAAATGTAGTGGATGAAAATAAAATTAAAAAAAGTACGTTTCCCTCTGAAATGTTGCGGCGTAGAAGTGTAAAGTAACTTCAAATGGAAATATTCAAGTAAAATAATTGAGTAAATTATTTTAAAAACTTTATGAACTTTATTTTCTATCACTAGATGTATGAGCTGCAGTCAACCGCCCCTCCCATTATTACGTACTTTGTATTTGTAAACATACTTTATGTTGAGGATTTCTCTATAAATGTATTAACCACTGAGACCCTAACACTCCTACAACTATGTCCCCTTTAATAACTTATATCGGTGGGAGAAAAAAAAGTTTAGTACATTAGTCAAACGAAAGAAAATGAATCAGGAACAGATTTGTTAATTGATTAATTATTGATTGATGATTTTGAAAGCAAAATGCCCCCCAAAAAACATCAACACAAAACAAACAAAAAACTGTAGTTTCAGATTCTCAAAAATGAATATGTGCCATTTTCTTCTGAATTGAATGCCTTTTGGGTTTTAACCGTTGATTAGACAAGACAAATAAAACAAATTTGAATATGTCTTGAGCTCTGGGAAATGATGAGCATTGTCACTGTTTTCTGTCATTTAAAAGACCAAATATTTAAAAAAATTTATAGTAAAGTTGATTTTAAAATGACTTTTCATTTATTTATGAAACCATCTTTTATATTGCATCTCATATTTAATTTGTTTCCTGATTTAACATCTACAATTATCATTTTATTTATATTTGATTTAAAGACAGCCCTCATTGTGTTGACTCCTCACACATAACTGACCATCCTGACAAAGTGTCTGAGGCTGAAGAGGCTGTGCCTTTGCTCTTGAGTCAAAAAACACTAATTTCAATCATGAATATTTATGTAAAATTGATAAAACTATTAAAGGCACCTCAACAACCAACATCAAAACAGTATTCATCAATATCTTTATTATTTACAATAGGCTTAACACTGATAAGCAGAACTTCACAGTAATATAACGTGAGCTTTAAATAAAAAAAAAAAACACAAAAAAACAAACAAAAAAAAAAACACAAAATATATATTTTGTACAATAAAAAAGTTAATGTTAACATCTCTGCCATTTTTCATCCCTGTTTAGATTCACATATTCCATTATGGTGTGTTTGTGTGTGTGTTTGTGTGTCGGTTTACATTGCACTCGTACAACTGAAGAAGTGGCCTTTGGTATAATGATGTAGACGTTCTCCAGAGCTGCTCTCCAAAACAGGGAGACAGAAGGGGAAAAAAACAGATGTACAGAATAAATGCAGGCAACATAAATAAAGACAATGCAGAAGACTGATATGAGTATGAGAAGAAATGTTGTGGTAAAAATGTGAAACAACATCAGTTTAGATATCAGGTTTGAGGGTGTGGGGTGGATCACCATTGGTACCTAATCAATTCACTGACACTAAAAAGCATTGATTGAATCTTTATATGTTTTATTTCTTTAAAAAAAAAAAAGCATCCAGGCTGGAAATGTGTTTGATTCTGGAAGATCACATTTTTTCTTTCACTCCTTGATAAGGCTTTTTTGGGAAACCTGTTCCACAGAGATGCACTAAAAAAAAAAAATCAATAGAAACCCAACAGGCAAATAGACCAGACTGTTGCTAGGCAATTACAGAGAAAAATGTTTCAGATGAAACTTTTGACATGATCAGATTACGAGACAACAGAGCAGCTTGGATTTAGTGCAGCAGGCTCGTGTGTTGTTTGTTCAAGAGGAACCCTAAACATATATGGCTGCACTAACAGTGTTAATGGCCACTAATAAATGGCCAAATACAAAGTTGAAACAAAGTGCACCTTTTGGTTTCAAGTTTGGATATGACCGTTAACCTCCATATGACAGAAATGCATAATGTAGTGATAACCTACCACAATTTCATGGCAAAGAAAAGCTAACACATGAATGTTTTAATGATGGACTTAAACATTGCCACTTGTGATTTCTTGCAGTGTACATAAATTATTTGTGACTGTATATAAATTATTTGTTCACAAAAAGGCACCAAGAATCATGAGCACAACAATGATGGCATTCAGTTCGTCTCAAAGCATCCTGTTTGGCAAGAAATGGGAATATTTTCCTGACACACAGTCACATGAAATGATCACATGAAATGCACAACAAAACAAGTTGACAAGAAGTTTTACTTGGCAATCCATCAAGTGTAATTAACGGACATTTTGAAAGTGTTATGGACCTGCAGTGTCAGATTACAATTTGTAATATTCAGACGCAACGTGTCAATGAGCCAATGTGTCTTATCCAGGCTTATCTTATCCAGTGTAAATTAAGATGTGAGCCAAAGCGAAACAAAGAAAATAAAAATATCTGTGAGTTGTGTGTGCGCTGTACACAGTTTTGTTTGTGCTCAAAAAACAGAGCAGCTGTTTCTGGACTTTAGTGTGACCAAAATTAGAACTATGGGCCAATAAACTGTAAAAATAATAATAATAAATAAAGAAAAATGGCACCTTAAGAGATTAGAGTCATGCAGATGAACATTGGACCGGGTTCAGAACAGAAGAATAATACATTCATAAAGCAGATATTCAGATCTGGGTGGATGGGCCTCAGTCTTGCAATAGATCTCTACAGTCAAAAACATTGCTCTTTATGCTGGGACCACACATAAATCTTTTGTTTCCTGGATATGAAATAAATCAAATATTTACATAACTCTTTTCTCAAAATAGGTCTGTGCTTTTAATTAAAAAAAAGAAAAAAGAAAAAAAAAAGAATAATTTAAAATTCAAGTTCATACATAGACATTCTAAAAAGCATTTTTCTTTGAACCAAATAATGTACAAATCGCTCATGTGCTGAAGACATACTGCAGTTTGTTTGCTGAGAGATCAGTACTGTGAGATTAGTGTAAAGTAGGTCTCTGCATTTTCGTAGTGTTCATACATTGAAGAATTTGAGGCACTGAGGCCACGACAAGGCTACAGGGAATCCAGCACTGTCCATACTTGGAAGGACACTTATAGAAACACTGTCCCAGTTCACCTGCTCATGTGCTACCCTGTGCTCTCCCTCTCCTCACTCCACTCTTTTATGCTCCGTCATACAAGGAAGAAATGTAGTGTGCAAGGATAACTGGACATAAATATTGAAATGCTTTAGGGGACTGGGGATTTTCCCCATTTATGTGGCACTGTGTTAAAGTGTGAACATCAGTCACGTCACTGAAGCAAAGACAAAATGCTGTGCATATGATAAGATGCCCCACATTCACTCATTTATGCAATATTTCAGTATTGTGGGGAACAGACAAAATAGATTCATATAAATCTTTTCTTGTCTTTTTAGATTTGATAAGCCTGTATTTGGTATTACTGAAACGTAAACTTGACGTTTCACTTGAGCTTATTTACATGCTTGTCAAATGAACACAAGTCTCAATGCTGTAAGTGATCCCTTCAATAGCTTTCAATGGTCTCACCTTGTGGGAATGTCACTGTCAACACAGCTGATTATTCTCTAAAGATTATTCTCAAAAACAAGACTTTAATCAAATACCAAAAAAAAGCAGTTTTGGGGAGATTTACTCTTTTATCACAATTGTCCAACTACTGAAATATACTGCCTGTCAGTTGCAATCTATGCAATAAAATCAAAATAAACATCTGCACACAAAATAAAAGTGTCAAATTGAGACCCCAAATGGCTTTAAAAAATGGCTTATGGTCACTAAATTTCCCAGACACTGAGTGGAAAACTCATGAATCACAAATTTGTGAAACACTGTTGAGCTTTAGTCAGGGAAAACAGTTGTCTAGTATTCTTGGTAAGGCTGGGCACAACCACCATCACTCTCACTCAGTAATGTGACAGACCGACAGATAAGCAGAGGGAGCCTTACCTAGTCTCTGGGCTGGCTACACACAGCTGATACACTCGACATTCATTTAACAAAGAGGCCGTGGTGGAGATTTGCGGCAAAACATTTCATGGTGTGACTTAAACCACATTTAGTTTGGTATAAACATTTCTCAATATGTACAGGTCAGAGCAAATTAGTGTCCACACTGGCATTTTATGAAACTGTTGTTTGTAAACAATAAAAAGATTACACTTTGTAGAGATTTCTCTGAGGTACTTTAGAGATTCATCTCATTTCGTCCCCCAAAAAGCTGTCAATAGAACCAGAAACATAAAAAAAGGGAATATAAGCGATCTGTTGGGTAGTTAGGGGTGACCGTTGGTGTCGTCACAGTGGCTACCTCTGTACTACGTCACTAATCTCTTTAATACAGCTGTGCAGGTTGTCCAGTACAGTGTTGGGCCCCATATTGCTCAGTCCTCCTCCCGAAGACGAGGCCCTCAGTTCCTGCAGGCTGAGCTCCAGCTTCCCCACTGCCTCTCGGAAGGCAAATTTGTTCCTCATCTGAGGGATGCAGTCCACATAACCTGAGCAGTAGTCTAGCAGCTGGTGGCCAGCGTCCAGCACCTGGCTGCTGGAGGGGCTTTCGGAGCTGGCGTGGAGGGCGCTGCTCAGGCACTCAGCGCACTCCAGCAGGGCCTCACGGCTTACCCGCTCCAGAGGTACCCTCTCCGCCTGCTGCCTGGTTCGCCGCAGTGCCACTTTGGAACTGGCAGATGGTGCTGTGTGTGAGGACGAGGCAGTGGTGGTTGCTCCGTTGGCCATTTTGGTGGGAGTCGTGTTGGTGGTGGCAGAAGAAGAGGAAAAGGAGGAGGAAGATCCAGGAGGCACTTGTGGTGGTGGCACAGACGGTCTGCCCGTCGTCGCTCCTCCTGACATTCGGCCTGACCTGTGACCTTTTAACGTGTCTCCGTTCACTTCCACGGGTGCGCCTCCTACTTGCTCCTCTCCATCACCGCTGTAGGAGTGTTGCAGGCTGCGCAGAGTGGGAGGTGGAGGAGGAGCACACTTGGGTTTTACAAGTCGCGGCCTGTCCCGGTCTGCTTGGTGCTCAGACAGCAGTTTGAAGCGGTTCCCCTGAGAGTCTAGCCCGACTAGGTGCACGTCAGCTGGGCTGTGCTTCAGCGTGGGGGAGATCAGGACTGGAACTTTGTGGTTGTGAGTTGGTGCAGCTGAGGAAGCACTCGAACTAGAAGTCTTAGAGGGAGAGGACCAACTCTGCTGCCTGTCCAGCCCCCCCCCACTCTCCTCTCTACTCTCCCTGACCCGGGAGAGACTGTCCGATTCCCCCACCTCCCCCCCTACTCCTGGTGCCCTCACCCCTACAGCAGTGCCCCGGGGTAGTAGCTTGGCTTTGGGCCTTTCCCTGATCTGTGCGGTCCCCTCATCCATCCTTCTCAGCAGAGTTTCTGAGGGCCGTGCAGCCCCATTCTCTGGCTGGGAGGTTGTGGAGGCAGTCCTCTCCAGAGGGGGTTTAGCACTGCGGTTCCTGGGTAAAGTTAGAGCCATGCGCTCCAGATCTGGCAGCCCAGCTGACATAGAGGAGGTAGAATTGGACCTAGGGAAGGGTTTAGGCCCTCCAACTATACTTCCACCGTCCTCTGAAGAGGTCGTCTTTCCTGTCCGTAGCCCCAGGGTCTTTTTAATGAGTCTAGGCGTAAAAAAACCTGCCAAACCACCCCAACTGCTGCCACCAGTCACCTGTGAACCAAGGCCTCCACTAGAGGGTTTCTGTCCGAAAGCAGCCCCACAACAGCGTGACTGAGTCTGGGTGGGTTCCCCGTGGGAGTGGGAAGGAGAGGCAGAGAAGCCCCCTAAACTGTCAGACTGGGGCAAAGGAGGAGGAGCACTGAAATCAGCAGTGGGTTCATATTTCTTGTGAGGCTGTGTCTCCATCTCCCGGAAAGAGCTGCTCCTCTTGGGTGGCGTTGGAAGGTTCTGTTGGAGCTGGGAGGATGGTGAGGATGAAGAAGAAGAGGAAGATTTCTTCTTTATGAAGGAACTAAAAAAGCCAGTCTTGCGGTCTCGTGTAAATGTGCCCATATCCTGTGCATCCTCTAAAAGGCTGCTGGGAGATTTATCTCGTGGCTGCTGTTTTCTGGGCAGAGCAGGAGAGCTGCCTGATCGGCCATCGCCTCCCAGCAAAGAAGCCCAGCCTGGAAAGAGCAGAGAGGAATGGATTAAAACACTAAAGCCATCTTTGATTTAAGGTTGCTTAATATCTTGCAAAAAAAAAAAAAGGACATGACAGACGTTGTTCTGAATTCTTTTAGCTCCCTTGCCTGTACTTTAATGTCCTGCATTCTATCAGATAGCTCTGTGATGTTGTAATAAGACGGGACTATTCCCTTTCTCCTTAAAAGCTGTTTTTTGCTCCTTGGGGACTCATGAGTAAGGAAAAAGCATTTCAGGAAAGGAGATGGAAAGTTTTAAGGCCATGCCTGTCATGCACGTGCACACGCTAATTCAATGATTTACAAGTTGCTCTTGTAAAAGACGGGATGATGAATACACCTCTGGGACTTGATGATAACAGGAGCCACTCAGAAACAGCCCAGCCTCCTGATACTTGGAAGGCTGTTGTGTAACTTTGCTGCTAAGCCCATAAATAAATAGAGAATGGCGCACAAATTTCACCAACCAGACAATGGAGTTGGAGATAATGAAGGAGAAAACTGAAAAATAACAGTCAATTATATCCATCACAGTTCTGAAGTGAATAGGAGCACATAGAGTAGCAAGCAAGTAGACAATAAACTCCTCACCAATAATGTGCATTTATATATAAATGTATACAAACAAGAAATATTCATAAAAACACTGTTGTAACTGGTAATGGTTTTCACTTTTATCCAAAGAGCTTTACAATTTGCTTCTCATTCAATAACCGACACACAGACACACGAACTGGGGACAGAGCCGCCAACCCTGTGATTAGTGTATGACCTACTCTACAGCCATTATACATGGAAAGAAAAATACATATAGGTTGTGGTTTTAATTGTCAATTATTTTGCACACTTTTATGTACAATTTAGGACAATCGATGGAGACACAGTTTTCATTCTTTTCTTTACAAGTCTTGTGCCCGTGTGAACTGGATTTATGATTTGATGAACGTTACTGTTCCTTTTAAGGGTGAATACTTAAGGGTGGTTATGGAAGAAAACATACAAGATGAACTAAATGGCCACAATGACAAAACAGACCAAGACAAAAACAAAGGACAGACTGTCTTCTTTACATAAACACACACATCCTGAGAGCCCTCCAAACTCACAAATGAACAAGATTTTATTTTCAACATTAAACAAATAAATATGTAATAACTTAAACAAGACAAAGACAAACAATTGACAATATGATGGGAATTTAATATTAGGGTTAGAAAATATTAATACATGGTCTTGATTCTTTTTGATAACTCACATCACAGGTAACAGACACTTGTCAAATGTATATGTGTCAGAGACGAGGGACGATGGTTCAGTTGAACATGGAGATGACTCGTTATACTTGGGAGTGTTCGAGATTGACTCGGAGTGACCACCTGGATCACATTTAAAATGCTGGAGGAAACTGAAACCACTTAATGCTAAAATGTTGCTTTTCTTTAATCAACGGTGCATGGATTAGTGTATCCTGTCAGCAAAACTAATTTAGACAGGAAAATAAAGTAACTAGAAAAGTCTTGACTCAGTTTACTATGATCTTCTTTGGTGATAATGGAGGACAAGGGACTGTTATATTGAGTGTGGTGGCAGTCTCACATAGTATATAGTGATAGTAATAGTATCTATAATGGTATCTTTCGCCATTATCCCTCAGTACTACACGATGTTGGGAAAGTTGGCACATATTTCAGTATTTCTAGATCTTTTAATTGTTGCAGGATTATTCTAAGGTTCTATTATAGTTTTGTTTTACTTTTATCTTTTAAATCTTTTAAATGGTGTGGGATGACACGGACATGTATGCTTAAGTTTCATAGATGAATAACTTGAACTTAGAACCTTAGAAATCAAATACTTTTGATTTTGATGTTGAAACACTGTTGTAATTCTGGGCCAATGTAGGGACACTGTCAGGCTGTGCTTGCAGAACTGCTGTGAGACAGCACTGGTCAACTGACAGGCGGTCAGTTGTTAAGGAAAATGACTGCTCTTCTCCTCAGACGACGGGCTTGGCGACGCTGCAGATGACTCTCTGAAGTGGTGTCCTCAGGCATACCTGCAGAATCATAATGTCGTGCACGTGACTGGTTGGTAGTAAGGTAGGGATGCCCGGCTGTACCTGAGTGGCTGTGCGTGCCGTGGTCAGTGCGCCCGTCCAGTCCACCCTCGATGTTTTCCTTGTTTTCTGTGTGCTTGTGGAGTGTGCGAGATTTGGAGGGCAAAAGGGGCATGTCATGACTGAAAGAATGCAATGGTCCGCAGTGACCAGAGGAGGCCGTCTTGCAGAGCTCCTCTGCTACCTCTGTAATGTACAAAGAAGAAAACACTCAGTTGACAGGCAGCCTTTACCAAAATCCAACACACTGTATGTACTGTACGCTTGCAGAACAAATTTGTAAAGTGTAATGTTTGTTGTTAAACTATCTGCCCCGCTTCTAGCTTACCACTTGTTTCATCTTTCTTGCTTTCTTGCCAATTTTGTATACTTGACTACACTTTTAAGTTCTCTAAGCTGAACAGGCAGTTGACTTGCCTTCAAAAGTGTAAAAGCCAACAGTCTGAATGAGATACAGATTTGAATGTTCGGCCTAAAGACTGCAGCTACTACGAATAACAGTTAAACTCCATGAGAACTGAGAATAAGCTACATGTTACTGTACCTTCAGAGATGCTGGAGTCATGAAACATGGTTTCGAAGGCTTGGTGGATCTCTGCAAACGAAGGCCTGTCTAATGGGCTCCACTGCCAGCCTTTTGGGGAGACACAGACAAAAAGAGATATCACTACAAGGAAATGCTATATTTGACAACTACATGTGAATTTAAATGGATTTTAAAGTAATCCAGTTACAAATCCAACATTGCTTTCACAGACCTTGTGAAAGAAATGTTTTTGTGTAAAATCAGGACACTGAGCTTTAAGTCAGTATGGAAGGGAGTTCAGTGAAGTGTGACATGACAAAGGTCTGACAGAAATGTAAGAAAGATGAATGGACAACCGCAGCTGTCAACCTCTATTCACGTCTTCCCAGTGCAGTGCAAGCACTTGGTAAATAAGTAAGAAGTAGGCCAGCCTACTTACATGCTCTCATGAGTTCATAGACTTTTGGTGGACATCCTTCAGGCTGTTCCATGCGGTATCCTTTCTCCAGGAGGTCATAGACCTGAGACAGGTCGATGCCTGGGTACGGAGACATGCCGTATGTGGCAATTTCCCACAGCAGCACCCCAAATGCTGTAAGGAAGAAAGTTTCAGAGGATCAAACATTAGGACAACAGAAATTAGGTACAAAAGAGAAAAATCAACACTTAGTATGACTGTATGAACATGTATTGCTCACCCCAGACATCAGACTTGATGGAGAAGGTGTTGTATGCAAGACTCTCAGGTGCGGTCCATTTAATGGGGAATTTGGCCCCAGCGTGGGCAGTGTAGGTGTCACCAGTCATCAACCTGCTCAAGCCGAAGTCTGCAACCTTCACAACATGATTCTCGCCGACCAGGCAGTTCCTCGCTGCAAGATCCCTGAGGGATGAGGCAAGGAGGAGAGAGGAAGATGGGGAGAAAAGGAGAAATTAGTCTTTCACATATGTGGACTAATACAAGGAGATGAATGGAGAAGAATACAAGTGTGCATATACACATACTGACATAGTTAGACCATCCCCTTACCTGTGTATGAAGTTCTTCTTTTCCAGGTATTCCATGGCAGAGGAGATCTGTGTGGCCATGTAGAGCAGGACCACAGCGTTCACCTCCTCTTTGTCACACTCTCTCAAGTAGTCCAGTAGGTTGCCGTGTGGCATGTACTCAGTCACGATATAAAATGGAGGTTCCAATGTACACACACCTGCCAAAGGCCAGCAAAAGTGCAATTTTAGGAGGGAAAAATGCGTTCAAATAGAAAATATGAGTAAAATTGGGTTTTAATGGGCACAGCAACAATTCATACATAAAATGAAAAAAACAAGTTCAACAATAAAATACAATACCTAGTAGCTGAACGAGGTTCGGATGTTTAACCTCCTTCATAACTGCTGCTTCTTTCAGAAATTCTTCAACTTCCATGGTGTCCTCCTGTCATTGTAGAAACGGAAAGAAACACAAAAAGAAAAGAAAGTTAAAAAAAACTAAAAAAAATGTAACACAGTATCTATAGTAATAATCACATGTAATACCAAAGTCCACCTGCAGGTGGTGATCTGTAACTATTGTTTTGCCCAGGCCCCATTATTTAATGCTGCAAAGGTTCTGTTAAAATATCCATCCAACCATCTACTGTAAAGTTCAGAGAAATCAAATGATGATATAAAAAAGGGCTTACTGACCTTGAGTGTTTTGACAGCCACCGTGAGGTTGTACTTTTTCCACACTCCCACGTACACCTCCCCATACTGGCCTCCTCCCAGCTTGTGCTTCATGGTGATGTCTGTGCGCTCCATCTCCCACTTGTCATGGATGGGTGACACACCGTACACTGTGGGCTTGTTACATTTGGGTGCTGGGTAGTGCAATGTGGTGACCAGGCCATCGGCGACAGTGGAGTGGTGGTGGACCAGCTCGGCCAGGGTGGCAAAACGGCTCTCAGAAGTCACATACACCTGAGGGGGGAGGAAGCACGGGGGTGGACAAAGACAGAGGTAAAAAGAAGATAAATTCTGGTGAAGTCCAAACACCAACACTCTAATACTGATAACCGTGCAGCTATACAAAACAAAACTTTAGCCAGCCAATTCAACACCATCAAACTGCATGTGTCTACCTTTCCATCAGAGGCTGTGTTGATCCGGTAGTGGTAGACTCTCCCCTCATAGCGCAGAGATATGGACAACTGTCCGGGGCTGCTCTCGCTTTCCCGGACTAGAAAACTCCCGTTGATGAGGGATGAGAGCAGGTACTCTGCAGCGCTGCGAGACACGGGCCCGTGGTACCAGCTATGCTTCTCCAGACTGTTGACTGGTGTGATGTAGTTGGAGGGCACCCAACCCTGGCCGTTCTTGGAGCGCACTTCACTCCACTCTCCATTCTGGTTGTAGCCCAGCACACGCAGCTTCTCACCTGGACACAAGAGGGGAAACTTTTGAGAACAGATCAAATAGTGGCAGAATGGCCTGGTGGTAACAAAGACTTGACACTTGACAAAGTGTCCCTTCAAATGTAGACAGCTAATGAGTAGCTGACAGCTAATCAGTAGCTGAATGAATTCACAAGCCAAAAGACAAACACTTAAAAGTTAAACAAGAAAATGAAATGTCTTGATTCTGATTACAAGATTTCATTCATTCAAATTCTCTTTAAATTCAGACACATCATGGAACAAAACCTTCTCATTACGTCACCATGCTGGTCGTAATGCCTTGATATCAGGTCTCATAAAAGTAAGAAGAGTCATGGATACGACATGCCTCTCATTGAAACTACATCAAAAGCAATGGAACAATAATAGGGTTGGGCAAACTGCATATCTGTCATAGAAGGCTCGGCAAAACCAGGCATGTAGCAACTTGGTCTGTTGTCTCTATCTGTCTGTCTCTGACGTCAGTGCAGGAGACATGAGAGAGCGGAGAGGCTGATGTGTTGGAGACTGGAGGAGGGAGGGATGCATCAGTACAACAAACAACACTGAATGGAGAAGTGATCAGCAAGTTGGATGGAGGATTAGAGAAACGGAAAAGGGGAAGAAAGAGAAGACAGAGGACAGTGGCAGGATGTGAGTGATGGTCTGGCAGAGAGCAGACGTTTAGCCTGCTAGCGGTGGGATCTCTGTAGTTCTACCACACATCGTCTACACTGTCTTTTCTTCCCGTCTACATCTTCTTGGATGTAGAAATAAACAGTACAAATACACTAATCACATTAAAAAGTAATGCCATGTATATATGCATGTATTTGATTGGCCAGTGCAGCATCTTGCCAGATGAAGCTACATTGCCGCAAAGTTGAGCCTGGTTTAACTTTTCTGTCAGAAGACTGAGCAATTTTAAAAAATCATCCCCGCTATGACGCCAGATTGGCCTTGCTGAAATGAATGAGAGGGCTGTGTTTTTTTTCTCAACAGGGCTAAAGTCAATCTGAATGTGGCCTATCATGAATCAGTCAAATAATACCTATAACTATGAGAAATAGCCACATAGTTTGTGTAACAGACTAACATTAAGCAGTCCAATACAGTCGAGTAGCCATTTAACTAACTGAGCTAAGTCCAGTCAGTAAGACAACCACGGCCCACCAACATGTAACCACTAACCAGAGCTGCAGGTCGAGCTCTTAGAACTTAACACACTATGCCAGCAATCCACAGAGCTACATTAAACAGACATGGTTATCCACATCCAGCCCACCAATCCACCAGTCTCCTCTGTGTCTGTCGTCTGTGTCTCTAAGTTTTGTGGGAGTGGAAACACTGACTGCCTCCCTCTCTCACACTGGGAGCCATGTGTGCCTGAAGCTGGGCTCTGGTCTGGCCTAGCCTGGTTTGGCCTGGCACAGAGAGGAGACAATGATTAGCCCCAGACGCGAGCCTGCTAAGTCCCTCTCTGTGATCAGCCTCTGCTCACTGTGCTCATCCACCTGTTATTATTACAGTCGAACAAATTCCATATTAACGCAGCATTAGAGGTATGCTGGGGTGTTTCCATGTGACACAGCAAAGAGTGGGACAGATAGGAAAAGTGCAGTGGAGCCTGGGAGAGCACATGTGCTTGCATGTGGGCAGGAATCTCAGATTCACTCCATGAGTCAGGGTCTAAACATCATTTCCATCCCAGGCAGCTGCCATGGAAGCCTTAAAACGATGGATAATTAACACACTCTGCCACGTTTAATGCTTTAGATCAGTTGGGGAGACAAGCTTGGCTGTCTCTGGATAATGTTATGAGGATATTTTAAGCTCATTACTCAGGGGAGAGCTTGTTGACCGGTTAACTGCTGCTGGTTGAGAGAGGAAGTTTGAAGAAAGAGTATGTGTAACAGAAAGAGGAATAAAGGTGAGGAAAATAGTGAAAATAATAAAGCATTTGGCTCATAGGTGGAGTAAAAGCATTAAATTATAGTTTGAAAAAGGGATGTGGTGTGTGTGTGGGTGGGTGGAGAACAAGAAAGTCATGGAAAGGTGAAATTACAGTTACTATTAGGTAAGCTCTGTTGACATACAACATTCCTCTGGCATAACTACACTTAACTACTCATAAAGAAATAATTCTAGGAGTTGCTGACCTGCCAATCACGGGCCTTGCCTGGAAGATTCAGTGATGACTACACAGGAAACGGGTAGCTACACATGTCAACAGTGCTTCTTAAGAAGGCGTGGTTGAGAACAATCAATGACATGGAAAAATCTCCTGGAGTAACATCACATTGCCAGGCAACAACTTTTGGTCCAATGCATGGAAACAGTGTACTCGAAGAATTTCACACAGTAGAATAGTTTGTTGCCATGACGCAGCTGATAGGTACATGACACATTCATTAATAAAGATTTGTGGCCAATGCAATTTTTCTACTGTCATCCTTTTTTTTTTAAACCAATGTCAATTGTCATTATTTACCTTTGGTAATGCTGAGCGTGTTGTCTCCGCTGGCGACAAAGTCATAAAGTGCAACGAAGAGGTTAGGGTCGCTCTCGGCAGCCCCCAGTAGGTTCTCCTTGGAGCTCCAGCGCACCGCCTCCGTCAGCGCCGCCGAGTCCAGGCCGAATGGCCGGTGGAGAGCTTCTGGACGGAGAGCAGGAGCAAGGGTCGGGGAGAGAGAAGATACAATATGAGACATGTAAACAAGCAACATCGTTCACACAGGTCAAGGGTGACAGTAAAGAATCATAATCAGTAATTACTTTATCAACACAAACTGATATTAACCAGCTGTCCGATTCCAGTTCTATCTTCAGACAAGCAGTAGTTGGATTGCAAGACTGATGCCCTCTAAACAAATGATAGATTTAATTTTCCATAATCCCTGGAGTCCATTTTGCCGGTTGTCTACCTGTCTGTCCAGGCTTAGTCCCGTGCTTGAACCCAGTGTGGCGCTGACGGCCGCTCAGAGCCGCCCACTCTTCCTCAAAACTGCTGCTTGCCTGCAGGCACCTCAAAAGCATTACTTTAACTAGTCCACTCTCTGAAGAGCACTGTTATCACTGACTACACACACAGACCTGCCGTGTCTAGCCCGAGCTAGGTAAGATCTGAGGTGGGACTGTTTTTGTGTGTGTGTATATACAGAGAGAAAAAGGGCGGAGCTACAACACCACAGGGATAGGAAAGATTCTCTCTACACAGGATGCAGTGATTGCCATAGCTACATAACACAACCACGGACACACAATTATGAACTTGTATATGCGTAGCCAATACGTTCTACACTCAACAGCTGCTGCCAAAGTCACTGCATGTCTGGACAGCTGCTGAGTGAGTGGGAGGAGGAGGGTGGTGAAATGGAGGGACAGAGAATGGAGAACAAGAACTTAAGTATAGGCAGCTTTAAAAGAGAAAAGCTATTACACAGAATGGTTTTCCTTCCGTGATTTTATTTCAGACAAATAGAAGAACTTCAAACATAAATAACAAAATCCAAAACAAGACTCACAATAAATCCTACATTTAAAAAGTATTCAGTTTTTGTTAAGAGTGTAGCAGAGAGGTCTTGAGGTAGCTCTATGGTTGTTTTGGAGGTTGTAGTTTATGGTATAGTTGTGTAGGATTGGCATTCTAATTAAAATTGACCATAGTTATGAGCTATTTATAGTTAATAGTGGCTCATCTTCACCTCCTCACACAATGGTATATTCTGACGTGACTTTGATCGTGACCGAGCCAGCGTCAAGCTGCAAAGTTCTGAGGTGGGAATCTGTCATGAAGGTGGTTGTGTCCTGCATAAACTTCATCAGAGCAAACGGACTTAAACACAGGCAGTTCCAAGCCTTTCTCTCCGAGCTAGAATCAGCCCACGGAGACGTGCTTTACCACACTGAAGTCCGCTGGTTAAGCCGGGGCAGAGTTTTGAAGCGTTTTTACGACCTGCTACCCGAAATCAATGCCTTTCTCCTGACAAAGGGAAAAACTGTCCCAGAGCTGATCGACACAGAATGGAAATGGGACCTCGCCTTTATTAACAGATGTGTCAGAAATTTTAAACGGCCTCAACTTGCAGCTCCAAGGCAAGGGAAAACTAATCTGACATGTATTCCCACATCAAAGTATTTGAGCTTAAACTAGCGCTGCTTATTGGACAGGTGCAAAAACAAGACTTCACCCATCTCCCTGCTACTCGAAGCCTCTCAGCTGAGAAACCGGCGGTCCCGTTCCCAACCGAGAAGTGCAAGGACGCACTGGAAACACTGAGGGCGGAGTTCGGTGTGCGGTTCCGTGAGGTTCATGTCCACGTTAAAGAAATCCGCACATTCCAGAACCCTTTTGCTGCCGACATTAACGACACCCTGCCTTCTCTTCAANACTTCACCCATCTCCCTGCTACTCGACGCCTCTCAGCTGAGAAACCGGCGGTCCCGTTCCCAACCGAGAAGTGCAAGGACGCACTGGAAACACTGAGGGCGGAGTTCGGTGTGCGGTTCCGTGAGGTTCATGTCCACGTTAAAGAAATC